TTCTTTTTTTTTGCTTTTTTAGTTAAAGTTAGATTTCTCTAAAAAAGCCCATCCTTCTACACCGCAAGAACTGCGGTGAGACGGGTTCCTGTGTCCCTGTGGCTGAGACGCTCTATCTGCACATACGACAGACTAAATAGATTATCAGTGAAAATCAGGGATTGAAGTAGACTTGCTCAGCCCACCGGGCAAAGTCGTCGTTTCACCCTGACTGTCTGGACCAGAGTCCATATACCGCAGGGATCAGCCCATGATCCATAAGTCCATGCGGAGTGTAGTACGGAGTACACACACGATTGCGATTCAAGGCGTATCCTGATATGCGTCATACCTTTCGCAGCGGAGTCATAAAAATATCACTGCCTGATATATCAGGTATCTAACCATCTGTACGTCAGGCGCGCTATCAAGACTTCCAAATGGGGTATGGTGTGTTGGGCTTCGGCTGAAGAGTTGGGCGAGCAAGAGCCGGTTCGGCTCGACATGTAACCCACCAAGATAGATAAGTCGGGTGAAGTCACTAGTACTAATAATATTGAAAAAGCCTTGTGTATCGATCAACTAGATTGTGAGTTACATTTAAGTGTTAACTAACTTAGTAGCTGACATGCTTGAGTGGGGCTTAGGTAGCTTACCCCAGATATATATACTCTTGGAATGGATGAGATGCGACCAGGGTTCAATATTCTAGCATCGCTCTCCATATATCTTGCCACCAAATCAAAGGAAACATTTTATATAGGAATATCCAAAAGCCTCCCCTGGCTCGACGAAATACCAAGTGAAATAGCCCGGATAAATAGAAACTAATGTTGATTTCAGTGGTGTTTCATTAAAGACATCGCGTAGAACGTAGAATAAGAAATTGGGAAGATCTAATACTAGTAGGCATATCTAGCACCCTCAATTACCTCCTCTAGCAGCATACATTGACTAGTCATTCAACGATAGATCATACAGCGCCTCCCCTCCTACAGCCTCCATTCCTCCGGCCTTTCATTCCTTCTTGGCCTTCTTGAGCGCCCTCTTCTTCGGTACTCGGATCAGCCAGTACAAAAAGACTGCGGCTGCCGTGTTGAACACGATATACACAAACAATATTCCGACATTACGCCACAGCTCCGAGGCTTTGATATGCACCCCCGCCAGGAATTGATCCGTAGTGGACATGGTACATACTTGGCAGTCGCTGTTGGCCTCGGGGTTGAGCAAGGTGCTTTTCGTCATCTTGGCAAACGCTTCGAGGTAGCCCGAGCAATTCTGACCTCCGGGGGGTGGTATATGAAGCACCTCAATATCCGAGCACTGGACTGGGGCCCAGCTATCCCAACCGTCATGA